AGTTTGAATGAAATCTGTCAATGGGTGTCCGAGATATAGCTGCGGACATACTGAACGAACCCAAAATAATAGTCCCCGTTTTCGGACTAAAGATAAGTCAATGTGCTAGTGTAATACCATTTATATGTCTTGTCATTTTTGTACTTCTTAAACAAAATTCTTGCTTTTGTACAAAATTTAAAAAAAATAAGGAAAAGTATATTTAAGAAACAAGTAGAAAACAGTCCAGACATGAAAATGATGTCAGATGCACACACAAGTGATGAAAGTCTGGTATTCATGACATACAAGTAGGACATATGCAGCTGAGTCCCTAGTTTCATTGCAATTCAGCCAGTAGCTCTCATAATCGGTGGAACATATTTGACAGGGACAGCATCCCCAAGGAAGATAACGTATTTCACAGTAATAAGCTGGAATAAGTACAATTAAACCAGACATAAAATGCATAAACCAACAGCAGATGGTGAATCTGAGAAGCCTAAATAAGTATATTACTTAGCATACATATGTAAAGGGCTGGAAATTAAATTAACCGTGGGACAAAAAGTTTTGGAAATTGGTAGCCCTGTCTTTTTTTTATCATTCTGAAGAGCTGAGATTTTTTTGTTCCAATATTCCTATGAAGGTATTTCAATCCCATGTGACGATGCAGTCAACGTCATCTCCAACCCCAATCACCCCAGGCAATACAGGACAATTATGATATATTAGATGGGTTTCACCATTTGGCCTAGAGGGGTGGCAGGCATATTTACATGGTTAACCCATATTGAAAACAATTTAGCAGTACATTAAGTGGTTCTGAACAAATGAATCTAACCCAAAAATTGTATTAATGCCTAGTAACTTGTTTTAGTAAAAATCACTATTCAGGTTTTTTTTTTAGAAAAAAACTGCAAGAGTGAGCACTGCAATTCAGCGGCGTTAATAAGTGGGGGAGATAAGGTTTTCCCTACAAGGGTGTGTAGTTTTTGATAATTCTAAGTCAAAAAGGAGCATTCTATGGCTTTCTTAAGGCCAAAATTACTATTAGACAGGTCAAGTTGAAGACTGTGGCAAAATGTGATCCCTGGTCAATCAGAATTTTATGGTTGCCAGAGGATCTGCTCTCCAATAAATGTTTATTGCTTTTTTGGAAATACCACAGGGAGTTGGACAAACTTAAGTATTTCAATAAATTATTAAATAATAAAATGTTATATAACTTTTCTTCCTTCCCCCTTCCTGGTATCGATTTCAAGTGATCACTGATCTTTGTTTATGTCACTCTTTCCTTCATCACAACTTTGTTACGCGCTAATGTTATATGCAAATTCTAACACGCGATGTAGACACACCCAATTATAGTAAAATATCCCAAGGGTTGAAACGTGCCAGGATTGTGGCATAAAAATCACGCATTCGAACCTTTCAAAGTTCGTTTTCTTTACATATATGACATTTTTGAACAGGGTGTGATTTTTATATAAAACTTGACAGAATGACACATAGACATGTACTTATCATACATAATAACAAATCATCACACTATCTCAGGCTAAGCCACATTTATCTTAATTTTCTTTAACCTTTCTTTTATTTTTGTTACTGGTTTTCAGGGTCCATAGCACCAATAGCCAAATAATTTCCAAGACTTTTCCAGACCTTTTCTAAAACTTTCTTGCATCCCCCCCCCAAGACATTTTGACCATTAATTCAGGCCAACATCATCACCAAAGCTCATCAAAGTTCTGAGGATATGGTAGTTCCCTGGAAAAAACAAGCCTTTCTAAAATTAATTAATAATGATGAAGAAATTCAAAGACTTTTCAAAGATTTTTTTATTTTTCCTGTAATTTAAAGACAACTCAAAGACTTTCCAGACCTAAAAAAATCCAATGACTTTCAAAGGATTTTCTCAACGCTATGGACCCTGGTTTTTATAATTTATTACATAACAGCCTAAAATGATTTGTTAACTTTCATTATAGTGTAATAAATGAAATTATTATTATTATTAGTTTGCCTATTTTGTGCATTCTGTTTTAC